GGGGGGTGAGGTAACCTGCACCGAGAGTACGACAACTCAACCAGAGGGCGAGTTAGTGGTCAGGCAGAATGGGAAGCAACTCGCCAAACAAAAGGGGGTTCGAGAGGAGGCCTTAGAACAAGACTTCGCTGGCCTGGCTCAAGCTTCACGGGGATGCTCTCGCATACACTCAAATACATGCATCACAGGCAAGCAAGTGAGGTGTTCTCGCTCTCCGGAGGCTCCCGCGGGGAGTCGCCCTTTCGACATTGGGCAGGTCGAGAGGTGGAGATCTCAGAACCGCGCCTGTACGCGCATCTCCATCCTTTCCTTGGCCACCGTAGCCGTCCCTGCGCTCGGCGGCCCTCCGGCTGACGATCTCACTCGCATTCCTCCTCGGAGGAGGAATGCTATTCACACATACCAAAGCCCCACACGAGGCAATGACCGCGTGGATATCCTAAACAACACATGATCACGATGATGGAGATCGGGGCTACTGCCACACCCCGGTGCCTGTCACGCGACATGTTCTGATTAGTTGTGTGACAAGCACCGGGCCGTTCCAGAGGGGCCCGGGTCTACTCGCCCCCATCAGGCCCTGGGGCTCCTGTCTGCAAGTTGGCTGCTCGGTGCTGGCCGCCCGGGCACCCGAGGCCTGCCGCGGAGGGCCGTCTTTCTTTTTCTTCCTCCCTCCCTCTCGCTCTCTCTCTCTCACTCTCTCTGGCGATCTCTCTTTCCACTCTTTGCTCTACCCCCGCCCCGCCTCTACGTCATGCTCACTGCCATTCCCATGTGCAGCGCTTTGCGCATGTCTCTCGGCGGCCCGTCATTCCCTACCTCCGTGGGCGCCCAGGTCCGGGCGCAAGGGCACCCCTTGGATTGAAGACGGCCGGCACGCGTGCCGCCCCAGAGCAAGGCAGATCGGTGCTTGACCCTGCGCCCTGCCTCCGAATGCCAACGATCCCCGGCTGTTAATATCCGGCCGTGCCGCTGCGTGCTGTACTCTTTCCCTCTCTCCTGCCCCCAGGGGGGGCGGGTGGGCCTGGGCCCGTGTGCGAACGGGGCGCCAGTCTGCCCACAGTTGGTAGCCGTGACAGGGGGAGGGGGGGGTGGGCTGGGAGGGCGGGTGGCGGCCCCTCGGCCACTCAGCCCGGGAGACCCGCACCTCCTGTGCATTCCCCTGGGGCGCGCCGGTTCTCGGACCAGGTCCGGTGTTTTCGTCTGCTCGCTTGACGCCCTCGCCCCGGCAATGGGTCCCGACTGGCGTGAGCGGCCCGCGACCAGGAGGGGGGGGGGGGGGGGGCGGGAGCGGGACGGGCAAACTAGCACCCTCTGTGGACATATGGCCGGGCGGGTGTGGGCAGTGTCCGGCCACGTTCGCACCCCGGGAGGAACCCCTCCTCCTTCAGCCCGACCCAGGGCGCGCGTCACCATGGCCCCTTGGTAGGGATGTCCTGCGGCCTGCGCGCCACCTGCTCGGTACATCGTTTTCCGGCCCTACCCCCCACCCTTGAACCCGTCCTTGGCGGCATAAACAAAGTATGTGCCCCCCCTCCCGAAGTGGGACTGGCCCGGGGAATCTATGCCCACCATTCTCTTGACCGAGAGAGAAGGAGGGACTCGCATGCCCGAAGCACCGTCCCCCCCCCCCCGCCTTGCTGCCAGCTTCTGTGAATTGAGATCAGTCTGAAAGGGGCGTGTGGCCGGACCTCCCCAGGGCACGGCCCAGGCAATTAATGGCACCCCAGTATTCTCCCCTCTCTTGCCTCTCTCCGTCTTCTCCTCCCCTCCCTCCCTCCTTCCCCCCCCCCTCTCTCTCTCTCTCTCCTGTCCCTTTCACTTTCTCCCCCCTTCCCATCGGCACCCTTCCGACACTTCTTGCCGT